TTTCACATTTCAGACACAGGATGGATTTTAGAAGGCAACTCAGTATCATGCCTGATAAAATGTGACAGAGCAAGTCACAGATACTCAAAAGTTGTTTGCATTCCCCACTACTAGTGCACGACCAACGAAAGAAAGTGAATTGTACGGAATAAGTGCACTCTATATATTGTTTAAACAGAGACCTCAAATTTCTAATATGGTCTTATTTTGTGAAAATACCCAAAATGGTAAGTGATGGGTAACTGCCACTGTAAGGAGCTGTATACCTGCCATAGGAGGCTGTGTCTAAGCATACCCATTTTTTCCCCTTTTAGATCATATTTTAGTCATGCTATATATGTTTTATACAGAGTGCACTAAGAAAAAAAGTAAAAAATTCAAAATTCCTATCTCTGAATTGCTTGATTACATGGTCTTGCCTTCTCCACAGACCATGTTTCTGCTAAGTGCTGCAGATGCCCCAGACAAAACTCCCCCGCTTCTGTTCACTCTGCCTGGGAGAGTCCCGTAGGCAGAACTAATCACACTGAAACAGTTTCTTTGTAAATAATTTTAATCAAGAGGGCAACAAAATGCTTTACAGTTATAAAAGCACAACTACATTTCCACCTTTCCCCTAATCCTGATGTGCTCTGTATGTAACTGGGCAAGCCAAGCTGCAGAACCACTGCACGGCCATTCCCTGAGGAACTGCTCAGTGTGCACCTCCCCGCACCCCGACTGCCGACAGCCGCTTGTCAAAATGCGTGGATCCGCATCATTTGCACAGTTATTTCTACAATAACCATACTGTAAATATGGAATTCTTCCAGTAGTTTATTCCATAATCTCTTCCTACTGTCTCATGTACTCAGAATTTTCACGCTGCTTGCCAGTCACAAGAATGGCAGTGTCAGCTCTCAGCCTTACAAACACGCTCATTACCAATGGCTGGGCAGGGTAACAAAAAAACCCTCAAACCAACAGAATCCTGCAACCTTTAGACACTTGTGCCCAATCATAATTCTTTTTCCCTCATTTTAACAGAAAGGATGTCAGTGGATCCCAGGGCAATGCAACAGCAACAATGATCTGAGCCAAAAATGTCAGCTCACGGAGCCCAGATGTCATTAATTGATACAAAGGAAGGGTATAAATGACTACAAAAAAGAGACCTCGCGAAGAAAAGACAAGAATCTCAGTCCAGCAGTGTCCTGCCATGCCATGCTGGGAGTGCTTATGCAAGGAGAATTGATGATCTTGATACCATCAGTGCACAACCTTCCGAGTGCAGAAGATCCCGCTGCAAACGACAACCTGCAAGCGTTACCTGTGCCTGCACAGAGAATGAAATCATTTTTCCAGTCCAAGCTGCTGCTTCCAATGTTTGACTATCAGTGAATCCCAAAGCTAAAGACACACATGAAGCAGGCTTCAGCCCCTGGATTTCACATCACAGGTTACTGTCCCTCAGCGAATCTATGTTCACAGTGCACAGAAAAGGCAAGGTAACAAGTCAGTTCAGCACTTTTTCATGGAAGAGTTCTCTCAACTGCCTCATGCTCCACACATGCAGAGACAAGCCAGCTGGAGGCACAGGAGCCTGCTACGTCCCAGTTACATGGTCGTGTCTCAGCGTTTTACCAAGTCCATATACCCACTGGGGAACAGAGGGGTAGGGCTGAGGAAAATACTTCAGATGAAAAATGCAGCGGAATTTAAGTTGGCTTTCAAGAGAAGGAAAGTGCCAAACAATTCTTGCTTTTGCAGTAGGTAAAATAAACCACAATACTGACAAGCGAGGCAAGCAGAAATAATTCCACTTTCTGCTACAAAATATTTTGATGAAAGGCCAAGACTTTCCAACTGCATCGCCATCAGAAGATTGAAAGAAATCACTCTGCATTATCGTATGCAGACAAAGCTAAAAGCAAGAAGATGGTTCTCCTAACAGTGAACTGTATTTTAGGATCTCACAAGGCACGGAGTAAATTGACTGAGGATAAAAAAAAACCTTAAGTCCAATTCCACATCCATCTGAAACTCCCTATAGAAAGTCTCCACTTTGGAGACATGTTTGTGAAATGTCTCTGCAGGACCTTAGGGAGTCCATTACTGGCCTTAAACATTCCCTATTTTGAGATAATGGTCCTTCATAGTTGCTGTCAGGAAACGGAGAAAGCAGTCACTCCTGAGCTGTCAGTTTTATTATTTCTGGTGCATGCCAGTAGCTACAGCCTTCATACACCTTAGAAAAAATTACCCTCCCACTATCAAGAGTTACCGTATTATTTTAAAATACCAGCTACTTTGCACAAGTACTATTACTATCAATCAAAAAATCTAAGCAGGATTATTACAGACAAAAAATGTAAAATACTTAAACAGCATAACAATGAGGACAGGAAAGGCAACAGCTGGAATTCCTGACAGTGAGACCTCCATGCCAACTGAATTCAGCAAGATGAAAATATCTGTTAGTGTTTTATGTACCAACTAGATAGCTTTCAGAGAGATCTTGGTGTTTTTGAGGGATTCATCTGGGCTCCCTGGTTTAAATTCGGTGGGAACTTTTCTGACAGATTACTCCAGAGTTTTTTTTTGTTCCTTATGCAACAGTTTACAGTACTCCACGTGCTTAAAAATTCTGAAGAACAGTTTATTCATCTACACACATCCTAGAGGATAATCACTTTACACAAAAAAAAGAAAGCAAAAAAAGAACTTCCTGGATTTGTGAAATGACCAGTAGCCTGTTCGGTTCAGGTCCACTTTATGCTCCACAGAAGTTTCAGCTCCAGGCAGCAGCCTTTATCAGTTGTACACACCGAACCCTTGGTGAAACTTTACTGTCAGAAGACTAGCAGAATGAAAAACTGGCCAACTCTACAAGATGGCTGTTGTGTAGAAAACAGGCTTCACACCCATCATCTTCCATCATAAAAATTACAACCTCATCACTTGTTATTTTGAGCCACCAGAACACCAAAGTAAGCTACAGACAAGCAGAGGACTTGCAAACTGCTTTCTGCTCAAGGAGTACTAGATTGCCCCCTTGATCACCCATTTTTGTATGGCTCACAGATTAAGTTTAAGACTTACAATTTCTCTGCAAAATTTAATACTTTCCTTGTTTTGCGAGCCCTGCACAGCTATACGCCCATAAAACCTAACAGAGCTAAATCCAATCAGCAATCCTGAAGTTGCTTCTCCCGTGTGGGTTTGATCTTTAAAGGTTATTTGGATTTGTTATTAGAAACATTTTTCATTCTGCTCCTCTGGTGCACAGCATTTCTTCTGCCACCTTGTGGAACCATGGGCTGGCGTTCCACAAAACTGAACACCAGGACTGTGACGGCTGCTGACACCACTGCACCTGCAATCACAGAGGGTCTGTATCCGAGATGATCGGCTTCACAGCTACACCACACTGCGTCTGCTGGTGGCTCTCTTAAGGTTAGGTTTGACAAAAGCATTTCCCAAGTGTCACGGTGTGCACAACTGACTCCATGGAACAGACCGGTCTCCTTATACGTGAGCCAGCAGCTACTCCTGAAAGTCCGTAAGGTCTGAACACTCCATTATCACTTCTGATTTACTGAAGTCACAACAATTAGCCCTTGGAGAAAGCAGTTAACCTCTGCTCAAAAATGGTTGAGCCCAAATTCTCTCATCAAAGCAAGTTCTCTCTGCTGTCTTTGTCTCCTCACTGCACAAGGCTCAGACTGATTAAAACAGAAATTTACCAGGACTTACCATCTCTTATCATAGTAGAGTTTTCCATCTTCTATTCGGGCTTCAAACCGCTGTGCTGGAGACTCTGCTGGTGTAGCTGGGAGATGTTCGGGAGAGGAGGGAGAGGCTGACAACAGGAAAGAAACTGTTTATAAAGACGAGCATATGTTCACCACACAACAGCATAGTTGCCTGCAGAATTACAATTAATAAATTCATATTAAGCAGAAATAACAAAGCGACAAACTCAAATTTCCATCAAAAAAATCCTTCGGCAAGTTAGTACCACCCTGTCTTGAAATAAAGTGTACAGACACACCTAGAGAGCTAAAAGCATAAACTCTAACTTCTCAATCTCTCTATCTACCTGACAAGCAGGCAAGCTGCCCAGATGCATCTGAATGTAACGGAAACACCTCCATGCACAGCTAGACTGTGTGCCCAAATATTTCAGCCAAAGATGCACATGCCTCCCTTCCCATCCCTGAGAATCTTCTGAACAGAGACTCCACAGAGCACCCATTTGCCGCAGTAGCTACACAAAGAACAGCAATTACACAGTCAAAACAATTATACTGTCAAATTACACAGTCAGCAATTACACAGTCAGAAAGTCTACAATATAATTCTCTGTTCAAAACAGCACGATTGTGAACAAGTACCAGTGCAACTGTTAACTCACCTGGTCTCTTGGGTGATTTAAGCTACATGGGAAGAAAGCAAAGCAGCGTTAGAGATGTGACACGAACCATAGAAATCTGCAGCAATAATTTCAGATAGTCTTACTTTCCACACTCTAAATGGTTCATTTTTTAAATGTACTGTTAACTGGCATAACACATAACCAGAACAGCACGCTATAAACAGCCAAAGGTGGAGATTATCAGGATCACGATGTAAAAGGTCTACAAACTGAACTGCAGCGCACTCAGATAATTCACTAAAACAAATCAAAACCAAACTCATCTAACCATAATTAAAAAATAAACCATATTTTTGAACATGATCCAACATTTCTCAGGGTACATAAAATACAGGAGATAAATCATTAGAGACACCTCAACAGCTGGCACAAAAAGCATGCACCGCTACCATCCTCAAAAGCCTTAATGAGCAGCCCCTGTTGTAAGAAATTAGATAAGCTTAAAGTGTTTAGCAAGAAAGCAATAGGGTAATCCAACCTAAAAAAAACCAAACTATACACATAGACACTGCATCCTATCCAGCCTGCTGAAGTATTGCAACAGTGGGGAGAAAAAATAACCAACCTAAAACCCACCCCCCCACACTAAGGCCTAAAGCAGAGGCAGCCTGTGATCTCACAGAAAGACGTGTTAACATCTGTTCAGCCCTGCGGAGAAGAAAGAAACTCCTTAAGATAGCTCATCACTTGGTTCAGACAAAAGGTAACATTTTTAGATGGCAGTCATTCTAATTAGGTTAATTAAACCTATTAAAATGAAAGGGAGGAGGTACCATCTTGCTAACTCTTATTGTGTTACTTCAGAAAGGTTACTGGGATGGAGCAGTCCCACATCTCAGAACATAAAACAGAGTCCTGTTCTCTTCGGGGGAAGCATTAGCTTTCTCTTTAAAACAAATACAAACCAAGCAATAATCCTTACCTTATTCAGTGTTCTCAGATCCTCCATTATTTGCTCATCAGTCAACAAGTAATTTAGCTGAGGTATCCAGAATTAAGGTTTCCATAAGCTCTTGGCAAGCAAGGTTAACAATTAAAGGTCAGTGACATTTTACTTGACTAAACATCAGCCAAAAGGTTTCAGTAAAGTTGCATGAGAATTTATTAAATGTCATACTTGAGCTTTTTTTGACATATGAGTTAATACAGGTGCCTCTCCACAGAGCCTCACATTTAGCAGCAGAGTGCAAAATCATTTTAACTTATTTAGACATAAGCATCAATGAAAACCTTTAGTGCACTGACATTTGCTTCATGAAGGCATCAAGCACGAGTGTTGTCAGTGTTTTTCAGCTTGCATTGCTGCAGAGAACAATCTCGGAGCTGAAACACAACAGACTCACTTCAGATCTTGTACAACGAAACCAAATCCCACACAAACCTACAAAAAGAAACTCATCATTTTGCAACTCAGTAAGCAGGAATAGAGACATAGGGAGAAGAGGGGAAAGCCCCACAAAAAACAACTCAAAAAAGAAAATAAAGCCAGAGGCACAAAACGCATCCTTGTGTGGACGAGGATAAACAGGAGCCTACCATTCACCTGAAAACACACCCAAAATCTCAGAACACAGATGTTAGTGCCTTATTAGAGCTCCGCTGTCATTTTGTGTAGTTTCACCACCGCATCTTCCTACTTCCCCTCTCTACTGCTCCTCTGTCACTTCCACACAAGAAAAAGCTGAGTAGAGAGAAGGAAACGGCACCTAAGCAAAGCAGAGGACCCTCTCTCAGGCTTTAGCCGACAGTGTTTCCTCAAAACAGCTGTTAAGTCGAAGTATCCAAGGTATTAAACTGAAGTTAATAATTGCTAGGCCCATTTTAAGGATTTTGGTTCCGATGGACTTTAATCCTCTCCCCAGCGAGGAAAAGCAGATCAGGTTTCATCCTGTGGCTGCCGTATCATGCTCAATTAGGAGGTCACGTTCATGATGAAACTAATTTATCTTGGATGAGACAGGCACACTAATAAAGGGATTTTTTTTTCCTGAAAGAGTGAACAGAATCTCCAACCAGAAAGAGATTAAAACTAAAGATGCTTGTGAACATCCTGCATGAACTCCAGAGTTCAGGCTTTTATATTGCCCTCAGAAAAATGCAAGTCACACATAAGTCATAAGGCATGTTTTTTAAATCTAATTTAAGCTACACAAGTTTAGAACCTAATAATAAGCCTCTGCAAAGCAAATATTGCCACCTTCCTTTCCAGGTGACTTTAATACACAAATCGAAAAAGCGCCTGTCATCACGGAGGAGCTAAAAATATATTTCCACAAGCTAAGGAACATCTTAATTACAAGAAACACACAACAAGACAGGAGAAGGATTACATATACATGTTTTTCTCTTTCTTGTGATATATGAAAACAAGATGGATTTTTTTTTTTTTATTCAAAGAACAAATCTAGCACTCCTTGCTTTTGCTATGCATCTCTCTGGATTAGAGACCTGAAGCCTTTATCAGAAATGGAAAAACTATTTTGATATGACAAATATGATATTTCTGGCAAATGTTTTGTCACATCTTGAAATGAGAAAAGCTCTGGCTGATGTAAAAAGCCATTTACTATCTATGGAATCAATTACCTCAGCAGTTATATATAATGTTCTTTTAAAGTTTTTCCTTTGTGAAAAAAATTGCCTGAAGAATTTAAACTATTCTCACTGACAAAAAAAATAAAGTTATTTCATGACATTGTAAAGTTTACCTTAGGACACCAAGGGATCTCCACAGACTGGTTGTGTGATATTAGTTTATCACACATTACACATGACAAATGGTGCTTCAGTATTTCTTAGATTAAAATCTTATCATAGCACCTCCTTTCATTTTCCCTCCTGTACAAAACAACACCGATGCAGGTAGCATGCCAGCTGAAAATACAATAGCCCTCCAGTGACTCTGTAAAAGGATATCAGGGGCAGGTTTCCTCCTCTTATCAGGGATAGGAACTGGATCATTTGGTCGTCGCCTCAGTTTCCTTGTCATAATGGGCTTCACTTCCATTGAATCTGTAGAGTAATGAAGTTGGAGAGCTGATAAGACCAGAGGGAAAGGAGTAAGAAGGAGCAGCTTTCTACACAAGGAAAACAATCTTTCCTCTTTCATAGAGAAAATTGGATTTTATTTTTTTTGTGATAGCTTCCAGCATCCAAGCTGGAAGTGCTGACAGTGAATCTAAGCTCTCTTTCATACCAGGTCACATTCAGTAGCAGCGTTGTGCTGCCATGGTTACAGCTTGCGTTGGCTGGAAGCAGCACAGGTGGTTTGGGAGCATTTTACAGCTCCATCAGGTACAGATAACAAGTACAATGATGCCACAAGGATTCAGGGCAAATTTCTTTAATGCTAATGCTATGTGCTTGTGAACAGATCATTTAAAATGCAACGTTCATGGAGTTCTTCGCTCACAAAACTTGGATAGTTAATAGCAAGTAAAACAGCTCCGCATCAATTGCTCTTTTTCTTATCTTCAAGCTGGAAAAATAGCTTTGTCAAGGAACACAGATAATTATGGCATTCAAGACTGATACAAGTCTGCTGCTGTAATTTTAAACAAATAGTATTTAAATTCAGATTATCTAAAAATGTTCCAAATTATGATTAATGAAATGAACCTAATTAATAACATGCAGAGAAGCAGTTGACAGGAAACAAATTGTAGCATATGCATGGAGGAAAAAAAATCTATTTAAAATTGAGACACGAGTCTCATCACCAAGTAATTATCTGAAATTACAGTTTGTCCAAATGTCTACAGGCAATCTTAACTAATTTACTCAAACTCTCACAAATCATTCTTTAATTTATGAAGGTATCTTGAACTGGTAAGCAAGACACTCCATCTTAAATGCAAAACACACCATCTCACCTCTCTATGTGCTGAGAATTATTTGCTCATCTTTAAGTACATCTGAATCACACCCTAGGTAGCACTTACATCCATGAAGCCGCTTCGGCTCCCTCTAGACGCTAAAACCTTCAGCAGCTACGCCTGTTCAAAACACACCAAATTACTTTTCTCCTTATCTCAAGGGTGAACAAGGATGACCATGCTGCACACCAAGGGAACAAATATTATGATAAAAGCTTTAAAAAAAACCCCAAAGTGCCACCCACCAAGTGCATGCCAAAGGAAACCTTATCTCTAGGATTCAAAGCTGAATTTGAAAAACACCGAACATTAACAACCCTGCAGGCACTAAAAATGTACCATGTTGAATATAAGCCGTTCTTCTCATTTGTTAAGACTGATTTACAACAGCCTCGGAAGAGGGGTTTGAAGCACTTACTCAAGGTGATACGCAGCCAAGGTCTTTTTAAAAAAAATTAGTTTCAAATGAGTTGTTACAGAGCTGTTATCTATATTGCTTAAAGCGTGAATAAGGCAGAGAGATCAATTTTCTTTTTATCTTAGCATCCTGTATCTTAAAATTGTGACAAGTCAGCAGAAAGTCAGCACCTAACAAGTTTTCAGAAAAACAAGTTTGAGACTCTTACTTTGAGATTCTTGAGAGATTCATGAAAACTTCATAAAGGAACTTTTGCAGAGCTGTTAAAGCACCAACAGTCTTACATGAGACTAAATGGTTAAGAACCACACTGTGCAATGCTCCAGAACAGGAGGCAACTATTGCAACCTCATGAAACTGCAACACTCCCAGATGAGCTTATTCATCAGGTTGGTAACTTGAATCCTTGTACACACTGAACTTCCAAAGGTTTTACAAACCACTGAGTTCACATCAGTTCCAGTATTCTTATTTCTTGGCCTGTACCCCGTGTTCACAACAAAATCTGTTACTTGTAAAGAAATCATATTGGATTTCTGCTAGTCTAGAGGGAAGGAGGTAAGGGAGGGCTAACAACCAGAATGGTTCTTTACTCCACAGGTACTCACACGCCTTCTCCTAGGGTTAAATCTGATGTAACAGCTCATCTCTTCAGGACACACAACAACGGGGGGAGACACACTTTCCTGAAGAGGCTCAATCTGATCCCCAAATCAGACTACTAAATGCTTCTTTTACCCCTCCTCAGCCTCCCTTTAACTCTGCAAATCCAAATCCTCATGTTACCAGCTGTCCTGCTGATAGAGAAATCAGATTCCTGCAGACTCCCAGAACACTGGCATGCAGATTTCCAAAGGCAGGATCTAGTCAGATCCTGATGCACTAACAAAAACCTGCTTGCAAGATTAGTACCACATCCCAGCCAAGTAGCGAACAGATGCAGGCACAGGACAACAAGAGCAAAGTTAAAGGCTAAGGCACAGTCTGCAAGATCAGACTAGACTTCATAATAAAAAAAATTAAAAAAAATAAAAATATCTGGGAAACAGCATAGCTGAAGATGAGTTCCAGACCAGATTAGCCCTAACAGTTTGTACAAAGCAAGCGCATTCTTGAATAGGTCCAAACAAGTTTTAATTCTCGGTTCTGAACACTATTAGCTTATGTAACTTCTGCAGATACTATGCAAGAAAGATATAAAAGGTCTAACTCACAGACACGCCTCAGCAACACAACAAATGTTATCTGTCCATCAAGTGAGGGAGTTGGTCTCAGAAAAAGAGAAGAAAATTAGACTTTTGGTTAAGCAGCAGAGGAACATAATCTGTGAAGGATGCTAACGGCCCCTCTACACAGCCCCACCCTGTCCATTACTGCAAAGAGCACGGTCAAGGCACTAAGGGCACCACCTGGTCTCAAAGCAATCTGTCCATTTAATGTCCATTTTCCAGAGCCTGGACACAAACATAGCTCACAAATCTATTTTTCTAGCTTTAAGTAGCAAATTTTAACCTTTATTGTTTGCCCTTCTTCAACTTCTTGACCACCTATTACTGAAGAAAGAAAGGACACAGTTCAGAACCTGGCACCACTGGTTAGGTCAACACTGGGGCACATCTCAACAGTTTAATTGTCAGACACAGGAACCAAAGAAATCCCTTTCCCTGCATGTAAGAAAGCCTGCTGCTGCTGCTTCTCTGGCACTATTTTATTCACCTGTTAGTAATTCAGGTCACTGAATTTCATGATGAACTGCTTTCTCCATTAAAAGATCACCAATTTGTGTTCTACACCTGTTGGCATTTGGAAAGCTTTAAAGCCTTCAACTAGCTGTCTGCATAAACCAGCACTGCCACCTTTATATCTTTTTTCTATGCAGTAGCAGAGTAGATAAGACAAACAACAGATGCCTATCTTGTTTATACCTCCTGTTAATTCCATGGTTAGCTTTTCATTCTCAATCATCTTCTTTTTCTCTTCCAGTTCTGCAATCAAATTTTCCTTAAGCTCAATTTTCTTATCTTCAAACTCCTTTGCTGCTGCCTTCTTTTCCTTGACATAATTTTTTTCCACCTGATCTGTCTACAAACCAAAAGAACAAAAAGGTCAACTAAGGAACCAGTGACTCAAGTTAATAATATCACAACAGCTTCTTTCAATTGCTGTACTGATTAGCTTTTATGTTCAAAACTGTAGCCAGTGCTAAAGATTATCAATATTCATAATCAGCAGACACCCATCAAAAATGACTAAGTAAGCAGTACTATCCTGGCAAAAGAATTAATTATTAAAAAAAATAAAATTATGTTGCATAACATCAAGTCCCTAGCAGAGAACTCTTCAGATTTATAAACAGCACTACCATTAAACAAGCTTTTAAAACCAGCCAAACACACAGACAGCTTACAGCAGCCCAAGAGCAAATATTTCTTTTAATTCTATTTTAATGACAAAGTCCAGGAGTTACTTGAAGTAACACCAACAGTAGGCTGTACTACATCTCAAGCGTAATACCACCAGCTGGAGGAAGAAAATGTCTTTAAACCTTCTGGAAAATCAAGCACAGGTATAGCTGATGAAACAGGAGGTTTATAACTCTTCCATCTAGTGAATATATATTTTGATAAAGAGTACTTACTTCCAGCTGGAGGAACAGTTCTGAAAGACAAGAAAGAGAATTTACTATCTTCAAAGATGCACAAAATGAGTTCCCTAACATTTTAAGTCATTGAATATTGCAATCAGGAGAGGCAGCGAACTAAATAGTGCAGGTACTCACCCAACCTCTACTATCACTTTGCAGTTTTACACTGAAAACAAAGTAACTACGAAAAAATTCTACAAAAATATGTTAATTGAAGTCTTCTACAGATTGGCAAGTGGATCTGCAAAGCTTACACAGCACTATTCCATAGTACTCAGTTCAGCTACTATTCCCAGCAGTAGTAAGCATGTAGACCATCTTCCTTCCAGTTTATTTACAATCAATTAACACTAGCGACAAACTTCCCAGACAGAAACTTGAACCATGTAGCTGAATGTATGGCTGGCAAAAATTCTCAGTTTAAGCCAACTTCATGAATTTCAGCAATGACTGGTTCAGAAATAATTCTGCAGCTGTTAAAAGATTCAGTCTACTTAACTCACACATGTCTGATTTCAGGCTGTTTACACCTGAGAAAACAAGCAAGGAAATTGTTAGGTATCACTGAAGGCTGAGTTCTAACACATGGCAATGATTAGCTCAAGTCAATGGATGAGGCAAATGGATTTCTGGGTGTGAAATAGCCTGCTACTGATGTCTGTGCAATTCCTAACAACTTAAAATCAAGCAGGACAGAACACTTCTTGTGTTTCCTGAAGGATATAATGCTCAAAATAAAGTTTCTCCTCAAGGTAGTGGCAAGAACAGCAAACCGAGGCACCTTAGCAGTCCTCAAATCACCATATTTCACCAGCACATTAATCTCTGGCAACACCTGAAGTAGATCTGCCAAGATCATAGGCTTCAAATATGTTTCGGAGAAGACTGTAGTAGCAACACTGTACTGCAGTGTTGGGGTTTTTTTTAATAATTTTTAAAAGCAACTAAATAGAAACTAAAGATGATAATGGCCCGATAAAAATCAAACCTTTTGTTTGCACAGGGCTCTACCAATTGAGCATGGAAGCAGTATTATCGAGATAATAAAACACAGGTAAGTCTAAACTGTTGCTTTAATATCTGCGAATTCTAAAAAAAATCCTCAACATGGGAAGGATAAACATAGAAGACCATTCTTCCTGCAGTACTAGGCAGCTGGATTTTTTTTAATCATTAAATTAAAAGTTATCACCATGTGCCCTCCTGTGGAAGAAACATGTTTCTGCAGCACAGGTCTTTGCCAGACAGAAATACAAGTTGGCAGCTAGTCTTAATTTTACCAGAATAGCCCAACAGTACTAGAATGCAGCTGTAGTGTACATGAAATTAACCTCAGAAGACAGATTCCTGTTAAGAAAAAAAAAAAAAAAAAAAAAAAGAATCAAGACAGCTCCCGTCATGCTTTATGCACTCACAAAAAAACTGCACTATACCCTTGGAAGCAGAACCCCTTGCTCCAGCAAGTTCCTTTTCTTTAAAGGACAGAATTACCATGGTTTTTCTTCAGGTGTTATAAAAAACCCATTACTTTAAGTTGTATAGAGCTTCTCAAAGACATTCAGCTCACCTGCATTTCGTATCCTTTCTTTGTACTGCTGGTCCAACTTCTTCATTCTTTTCTGATATTCCTGAAGAGTACCTAGTTGAAAGGAATTGTGGATTCCCATTACAATTTTTTTTTCCAAGCATTAAGTTTTCTCAAGGAGCCATAGCCCACTTGAAACACAAATACTAATATCTGAAATAAGATAACTACAATTCTGGTTTGCTTATTTTGATAAGCACATTTCCCATTTTTCAGAAAGTAGACTACTCCTAAGAAATGCTTTAATACACAGGGGCTTACCACGTGTTTGGAGGGAAGGAGGACAGAAAGCAGCTCACATTTTTCACTCAGCAGCATGACTAAGAGCCAACAATCAGCGAAGGACACTGCTTACATCCTTCAAAACCCTCATCTTTCTGTGACCTTTAAAAGTGCTGAAAATTGTTTAGGAAAAAAAAAGCGCTACCCCCTTCAAAGCTTACCTTCCTGTAATTGTTGTAACTGCCTCTTCAGAGATGCCAGTTTGTCCTGATACATCCTGCAAAGAGAGAGAGCATGCAACTTCACTTTGAAAAAACAAATGTACACCACCTAAATTGCCATCTGTTTAGGTTACAGCACATTTATATGGAATTAAAAACTTTTTAGAAGAACTTTGAAACAAACACCAACCAAAAGAATATTATTCAAATGAAAGGTTATCATTCTGTCGGAAAACGCTGCCACCCCATTGGTTTTACAATACACCCAAACCAATTATTTGGGGAACAGTTCAGGGTAAAACAGGGCTTTTAATGTTTAACTTACATTTAGATCTACAGACACCAGAAACTTTACAACAGAATCACTCTGTCATTTTGTCAAGTCTTAATATTTGTGTCTTAACTTATGAAAGAGAAGGTATTTCCTCACACAGATCTTGACATTACAAAAAAAAAAACCCCGAAGTCTATTCCTGGTGCTTTTGCAAACTTGCATTTCCTTTCTCACGTTTCTGTGGTTTGACACAGGCCAAGTCCTCGTGACCTGTATGAAAACATGTCTCTGACAGTAAGCACAAACACAAAATATTGCAAATACACTGAAACATGAAAGGAAACTACTTCAAGTCTCCAAAAATCCCATCATCTTGGACAAGACTAGCATCCTGTTGTTTAAGGGATATTAACAGGCATCTTACTTTTTTGCTTGGCTTGTATAAAGTAGATCCTTTATTTTATTTAAAGGATCTGTCTACAGCAGGATTCATCTGCAGCAAAACAGCTGCTCCCAGTAACTCGTACCTATTTCTCTGTTCAAAACAGTAGCAGCGCTTAGTTTCTTGACTACAGGTAGAACAGAGAAAGTAACGGAGAGAAGAAACACAAGAATATGGACTCATGAGCTATTTTATTGGGCTAGGCACTGAAAATCCCAGTCTTGGACCAAAGCATTGCAAAGTTTTATGCCAAAAATACCCAAGCCCAAACAAAGAAAGTATTACCTTACTTTTGATCAGAACAGGATACTTACTGTTCTTTCATTTCTACAAAGTCCTCTTCCTCATGTTTTGCCAGGTCAGTTTCACTGGCATCCTCAGTGTCTACATGAGGCAAAAAAATGACTTGTTAAAATGAATGAAGTATTAAAAAAAAAAAAAAAGTAAATCACTTTAAAACAAAGAAATCCCCAAATCTCAGGCAACTTGACCTCAAATACACACCCAGACAGGCCTCTGGAGAGATGAATTCAGAACTGGAATGAACCATCTTATCTCTCTCCTGCAACTACAAGTTAACCTGTGTAAATCCTCTGGAAGTTTTGCAGTGAAGCTTACAAAGAGTCTGAACAACTTCAGCTGAAGATAGTCTGGTGATTTCTTCCCAGTTTAAGACAAGAGGTTCTACATTAATGCTCACACATACAAAGGTGAGATAAAAACAGTCTAGAGACTCTGAAAAACATTTCTTCCTACAGTTTCGCCCATGACATAATACACTGTATGGAAAACACTGAAACAGCTGTAACTAATTCTGTATCTTGACTTGAAACACTCCAAAATGAAAATACTATGGCTAGATGCTGTTAGGGTCAACCACAAAGGTCTCGCTACAGATAAAAAAGTTACTTGCTGTGGTCTGAACTGGACTTCTCAGCTACACATCGCACAGAAGTACTTCAACATTCACACCTAACACAGAAGAATACTGACATAAAGATAGCCCCAAGTTTATGAACAGATAATATAAACTGGGAACAAACCAAACCAGTGTGGGACTGCTAGTTTTCTGCTATGCCTTTTGAGGCTTCTATTTCTAAGACAGAGGTAGCCAAGAATTTACTACCTTTCCTCCCCAGAGAAGGTCACCATCTGCGGGCTGGAGTCACGGGAGGCAGGATACAGCCGCAAAGCCTGAACTACAGTTACACTGCCTACGTGTGGAGCAGAGGCAGCAGTATGATCCCTTTCCTGGTCCTTCCACAGAACCCTCTTTCCTCTAACATCCTCTTGCAACCCCCCTGCTTCTGTCCACACCTTCTTCCACCTTAAATACCTCCTTTCCCCTTAGCCCTTCCCACCACAAAAATATAACTAAGTTTCACACACCAGGTTTATCCCCTGCTTTCACCCTGTTGTCCCACACACTCACTCCCACCTCCTCATGCTCCCTCTTCTCTGTCTCTTCTTCACCTGGGAAACAATTTCAACTCTACCTCTACACCAGCTTCACTTCTCTACTCTTCCACAGGCAACCCCAGCAATCAAACAGACCCTCGTTTTGACCCCATTCTCCTCCTGCTCCAGACCACTCCACCAAACCCACCCACAGCCTTTCTCCCCCAGACACTCCTCCGTCTCCCCAGAGCAATTCCCTTCCCTTCCACCCGCCACCCTGAGAGACACCCCCG